ATGGGCATGTTTCCTTACCCTGTCCCTGTTAAACCTAGCAGGAAGTAAGTCCCGGGGTGTTTGCCGCTGGTGCGGATCGATCCGGGGGGGAAAGATTAACCTAAATTCCCTGAATTGCTCTGCAAACCCACTCCTAAAGGAAGGTTCCTTTATGCTGGTGAGGGGCTCTTGATCTAGGGAATTGGATCTGTACTCCAGTTCCCTGATTAAGCCTGAATGCTTTCCACCCCCTCCCCCCCCACATGGGCTAGTAAGTAAATAGGTAAGTTTATTCAGGTATCCCCTAAAGGGAAGGGTTTTCCTTGATGTTGGTGAGGAGCTCTTGATTTAGGGAAATTGGATCTGTGCTCCAGTGTCATGTGGGTTTTCGATACGTGGATAGGGTAAGAATACTCACGTAGGCTGGTAGTACGTATAATATAACGGAAAGTGTGGGAAAGCGCCAACAGCCGTCCTGCCTCTCTCTGCTCCCTAGCCTGACTGACCCATGAGTGCCTACGGGTGAGGGATGTTTGAAATCCTGCTATGGTCAGCAGCAAATATGAATACAGTCAATGATTCACACAGATGGTTGGTAGTGAGTCATCTACTGGTACACTGGTTACTGGTACTGGTTACTAGGAACTGGTACTATAATGAGAGCTCGGCGACGCTAACGTATGTCGTCCCGACATACAACTAATACAAACTAGAGACGGCAGGTGTACGGCTTGGGCTGAGTCTATACAATGTCAAAGAAACAAACAATTGAACATTATAACATACTTAAGTAGAATATTGGAAGGGAAGCTTACGTAACTGAAACTGTAATAAAACTGTAATGCAATATAAGGTATAATATAGCACAACTCATCGGAAACTCAACGTTGAGATTACACAATAGAAGTTAAAAAAAAAAATTTGATCGATCGAATCTGTATTCATGTGATCTACGGATTCTGAGGAAGGAATATATACAAAGAAAGAAGTGTTTAACAGAAAGCAGTTTCGGTGCACTCAAATCTAGACTGTTAACCCCTCAGAATTCGGAGAGAACGTGAACACAAAAAAAAATTCTTGAATACTGATAAGTTGATACTGTAATTTATTCATCTATACAGGTTATTTACATTTAACCCCAACTCTGCTAGGGTGAATTGACATATGCAGAATGGGTGTCATCTCTGGGAGGATCAAACTCTGTTGCATGGCTAACTCATGCTGTATTTGAGGCAAATCTGAATTGGAAAGTAACAAATGATACTTGAGGATTTCTCAATACCTGTCGTGTACGTAGGGAATAACGACATTCAGGTTGGGATCGTCTGACTGAGTATCAGAGGTAGAGAGTACAGGATCAGGAGGATTGTCAGAGTCTGTCACATTAGTCTGGATTGGAACATCATTATCATCCCCAATACTAACTTCATATGATTTTAAATGCAATTCTTTATACTGACCAGTACTAATTTCTCTAACCTTATACTTATTACCAGTGATATGTTCAACTACTCGATAAGGACCAACAAACTTTTGATCAAGCTTAGGCATTGCAGACGTTTGTTAAGTTAGTCAGCATAACTCTCGAACCTACTTTGATTTTGGATGGCTTCGCTCGAGTGTTTGCGACTCTTGTAAATTCTGCTGTTGATTTTTTGAAGTTTTTTCCACGGATTTTCTAAAAACCCCTTGAGCAAAAGCTGGTACGAGTTGCTATGAAATCATCAGGGTTGTAATTTGGTTTCGGATTAGAATTAGCAACTCAAAAGGGCCCAAACGTTTATCTACACCATAAAATTTGCATAATGTGGAGTGTCGCCTATAGAAACATTGTAAGCAGAATTATAGCACACTGCACATCAGGTATAACTTCATCCCAAGTTTCACTGTTGGGATTGATAGTGGCTCTCAAGACATCAAGTACTTTCTTATTGGTACATTCTGCTAACCCATTGCTGGCAGGATGATGAGGAACAATGGTGGATTTAGAGATCTTGTACAAGGTACACAAATTTTCAAGAATCTCATTACAGAATTCACCCCATTATTGTTACTAGGGACTTAGGGGTGGTAGCCTGCAAATAATGCGTTCTTAAACGCTTTAGCTACTGTCTCGGCAGTTCTTATCTGCAATAGGAACTAACTCAATACTGGGGAAAGGTCTACCATAACACAGATGTTTGTTGCCCTGGAGGGAACATGGAAATTAGTTAACAAGTCTAGCGCAACTCTTTCCCAAGGTTCGCTAGTGGTTATATACACTTGGATTGGATTAGGACCATTAGCATTACCTTTATGTTGCATGCAGACACTACATTTTTTTAACATACTCAGAAATATCAGTTTGCCATACGAGGCCAAAAGTATTTCAATCTGGCTTGTTTTACTGAACGATCCATACCAGGGTGTGCAACACCTGGTACATCGTGAACTAGCTGTAAAGGGTACATTCACTAGTGACTGTGGAATTACTAACTGGGATACTCTTCTTGCTAGGAGTAACCCAACTCGGCTGTTCGATACAGTAATTTTTGGTTCATGACAAAGTCACTGATGGGGGCTGGTGGCTTCACAGTCAGAATAAGATCTTCCTGGAGGGAGGAATCGAATCACACAGACCACATGGGATCTGTTTGTTGAGCATTTTTTTACCATCCTCACACTAAATGGAGGGTCTGCAGTTACTATACTAACAGTCGCGATAAGGCATCTGCGACTACATTTGACTTGCCAGGTAAGTGTTCAAAGGTGGGATTGAACTCTTGGATAGTCAAGGTCCATCTGGCTAACCTTCCAGTAGGTTGTTTGTTCTGGAATAAAGGTATCATGGAGGGTGGTCTGTCAAGACATGAAAGAGTACTGAAAATAATGTCTTGGAAGTGCTTTAAAGACTATACTATTGCTAAAGCTTCTTGCTCAGTTACTGTATAGTTACGTTCAGCCTTCGTAACTTGATCTAGGGAATTGGATCTGTACTCCAGTTCCCTGAATTAAGCCTGAATGCTTTCCATCCCCTCCCCCCCCCAACATGGGCTAGTAAGTACGTAGGTAAGTTTATTCAGGTATCCCCTCAAGGAAGGTTCCTTGATGTTGGTGAGGGGCTCTTCATTTAGGGAATTGGATCTGTGCTCCAGTTCCCCGAATTAAGCCTGAATGCCTTCCACATCCCCCCCCCCCAGGCGCTGTATAATCCTCCGGGTTTAGCGCTTCCCCTTGATTATAATAATAATAATATTCAGGTATACAGAAATAGATTATCGTACATAGCATATGTGTAGAGAACCTAGGATAACCCAAAAGTCAGTGATTTATTTCCGATGTATAATCCCTACGGGTTTATCGCTCCCCCATGATTATAATCATCGCTCAGCTTTGGGAAATATTTCTTCCCAGTACTCCTTATCTGTACAGCACTCAGTTGTAATAGTAACCTAACCAGTACATCGGGAAGCTGGGTTTATTACGATGTGAGCTGTCAGTGGCCCTTAAGACAATGAAAGGGATTATCAGCGGCGGCCATCATAGTGTAGATGTGCTTATTTAGTGTGTGAGACACCTGACTGCTGGTATTTAGTAGGATCAACCTTATCTGACTTGGGAATCTTATGCTCTTTGTTTTTCTTTTCGATAGAAACTTTCCTGTCTCATTTCCGTCGAACATTTTTCCCGGACTAGACTAGTCAGAGCTCAAAAAGGCGTAAGTTTTGGTGGCTTTTAACAATTCCCAACAGACGGTTAAGTAAGTTAATATTTAGACTTTGGAAATAATAATAACATAACACCAATATTTGCAATTGTCTTGAGGCAAAACACATCATATGAGTACTGTAAGAGTACTTTACGTAGAGTTAACATAGGGTATCCCAAGCATTGTAATCCTTATAGAGAATAAACTTTGAATTTGAATTGTTAATTTGGCCTCAGTCCGGGAAAAGAAAAAATCCTTTAAGTAATTAAAATTCTTGGCTCAAAAATATCAAGATTTTCATATATATTAAACCAAATAATAATAATCATGGGAGAGAGCTAAACCCGTAGGGATTATACAGCGCCTGTGTGGGGGATGGAAAGTATTCAGGCTCAATTCAGGGAACTGGAGCACAGATTCAATTCCCTAGATCAAGAGCCCCTCACCAGCATCAAGGAACCTTCCCTGAGGTTCCTTACATTAACATAAATGCATGCATAAAGTCTTTGTTATTAATCTTTGTTTCTACAAGTATATGATACAATTTATGCAGACCATAACTGACATCAGTGACATACTGTATAGGAAGTCCCTGTTTGTGAAGAGCATTTCGGGCAACTTAGGTTAATCTTGTCCCCAGGATGCGACCACATCAGTTGACTAACACTCGTGTACCTACTTAGTGCTAGGTGAACAGGGACAGCAGGTGTAAGGAAACAAGTTCAGTGTTTCCATCCATGCTGGGGATTGAACACGGACACTGTGTGTGAGCTGTGTGCGCTACAGACTTGTGGGTCACAACCTGGGCAAGAAGGTCAAAGAATAAGCCAGACATAGTGGCTTTCTGGGTTGATAATCCTTCATGGTGAATAATCCGGGTAATAAGTTTCATCTCTATTACCTTCAATCCTGTATGAATCTTAATGGTTTAAGTCCTGTTGATCGAGGAACTGGATTTATCTTCCCCTTCCTTGGATGAAACCTAAATGCCTCCTGTTTCCCCAGACACTGTATGACTTCCATGCATCTGGATCTTACCCTTGATAAAAAGAAATGATTGTTAGTCATAAACTCTTCTATATTTTTGATCAGTTTATCTGCATACTATAGTAGTTATGTAGTTGAAGTATTACATGAGGTACAATATTAAGTTTATTTAGGTACAGGTACACACAAGTACAATTATCATACATAGTAACATGTGTAAATTACATAGGATAACTCCAAAAAAAAAAAAATTCAGACAAAATGACTTATTTCCATTGGGGTCCAATACTACATATATTTCTTGTGCTGTATCCATAAAGCGTATTCAGCCTTAATTCATGGCTTGGAATGCAGGTAATTGCAGAATCCCACGTTACAGTCCTCTGAGCAAGATATGGATAGATCTTGTAATATTGTATGGTTATTAATGCTGACCAGTGCCACATATGTACAGACTGCTTCTAGTTTTATTTTGTTTTATAATTTGTTTAGATATATGGCTGGATTTGGAATCTCAATGATCAATAGGTCAATCCTTTTCACATTATTGTCTTCTGGCAGTACTGTATAAACATCTGAATCTTAGGGAACACAGTAAACATAGATGAAGCTGTGTATGGCAGTAATGTGAAAGACTTAGTTCTGACTTCCACCTTATAATTGAAAAACAACATTTAACCCACACACAGGGTCCTTCTGCCTTTTTTTGTAATTCAGATCTGAGCTACAATATTCATTTATGAATAGTATCCTTCATTGAGACTGATAACTGTTAGTTCCTTTCATAAGATATATTTCTTTCAGAATTTGAGGTTGTGCAACAGCAATTTTGGTATGAAAGATGTGGTTCACCCGGGGATATCTGGTGTTACACAGTGCACTACTTAGGGTCAACCAGTGGAAAACAGCTCACCGACTTGCCTCTACTATTTATGCTCTGTCATCAGGTGCATTGCTGTTGTGTTTGCTAATATTTAAAATCACTTACGCTATTTGAAAATTTTATAGATACAGTATTCAACGGAGATGACACAACAATCTTGATCAATAATGTCCATTAATCCTCCATTAATTTCACTCACATATGTTATTATATTGTCTATTATCTTTATATCTTGTACTCTACCATATGAACTATATAAACTTACTTGCTTACTTAGTAGGGTTAAATGTAATGAGTCTTCTCAGCTCTCTGCACTTGCCATGTGTTATCAAAAGTTATGCATGAAGTAATGAATTTGCAAGTTAGGTTATTGTATATTATGAGTATGCTTTAAATAGGATTATTGGCTATAGGAACTAGTTGGAATTTTTTTTTTTTTTTTTTTGTTACAGATGTAAAATATATTAAATATATTTTAATGAATTAAAGTACAGTATGTACTGTATTGTATTGATAACCTTTTCATGTGCAACATCAGTGTCTGGCAGTTAACTTGCTTAATCAACAGAATAGTGTAATGAACTTAATATTAGGAAATATATTTATCAATAAAATTGTAAATAGTTTAGTACTGCTGTAACTTGCTTAAATGTTTGGGTCCATTCCCCAAACCCATTTTGTGCCTTTATAATCGTTTTTGACTCCAGCCCACAGGATGGGTATGTGGTACATAATAAAAGCATCAAACACCAGTAGAGAGTATAACACAAATATTCAAGGCTTACTGTATGTCATGAGGATTTTTTTATACATTTTATGACAATTCTGTAGCCTGTCCTCATTACTGATGTCAAACGACAATGGAGTGTAGTAATGCATGGCAGTGCATTCACTGGTGAGCTTTCTTGCAACCCATATTATATACTCATATGGCACGTGACTCTACACTTAAGTAAAATAGACCGCCAGAAAACAACACCTAGTATAATATTTAATGTACATGAGACTTTATTGGTTTGGAACAAACATGCTAATGCAATATGTAAATGTGACATCCCAGATGAGAAAGTATTGTGCTGGTAATTGGTAGTTAAAGAAGTGCAATTCTGAGTGAGGATCCTCATGAGCACTGTAGGATTCTATTATATAAATTACTTTAACAGGCTGTTATGATAAATATCACCTGATGATGCTAATAGCTGTTAAGCAGCTCTTAAAAGGTAGATACTATATATAATTAGCCATCACCTGTTTTCTGTGTAAACCATTATTTGGGCACTCATTTATTTTAACATTAACAAATACAATTATTTCCTTAGGGCAAGGTAAATGTGGCATTGCGGTACTTAGAGTGACAGGCAAGAGGGCTGCAGATGTTTTTACAAGCATGACAGTGCCAGCCTCACTCCCATCGCCCCGCGTAGCTACGCTCAGGAGAATTGTTCATCCTGTTACTGGTGAAATTTTCAAGGTTATCTTAAATCTTTCAGGAAGTTACTTTATAATTTTGTAAATTACTACATAATAGTATAAATATATTGTTTTATAATATTTTAATACTGAAAATTAAGTAAAAATAGTACAATGCTCTACAGTATATTGTATATATTTCACTTAAAAAATTTTTGTTAAGTGTGTTTAGCCTTCATAAAGTGAAAAAGAATCTTTCATCCGTATGCCATGTGTGTCGGAAGAGGTGACTAAAAGGCTGGGAGCAATAGGTTAGTAACCCCTTCTCTTGCATAAATTACTAAAAATAAGAAAAACTTTATACAGCTGGGATATTTGAATATTGCAACAAGCAGAAGGCAAAAGGCAGTGGAAACTAAAAGGTGCAGGGCTTTCAAAAGTATTATCCAGAGGGCTGAGAAGGGGTTGTTGTGGTGGTTTGGACATTTAGAGAGGATGAAATGCAATAGAATGAGTTGGAGGGTGTATAAATCTGTAGTGGAAGGAAGGCAGGGACGGGATCATCCTAGGAAGGGTTGGAGGGAGGGGGTACAGAAGGTTTTGTTTGCAAGGGGCATAGGCTTCCAGCAGGAATGCATGACGATGATAAGTAGAAGAGAATGGAGGCAAATGGTTTTTTTAGGACTTGACGTGCTGTTGGAGTGTGAGCACACAATTTTAATAATTCAAGTTACGTGCTAAACCCATGTGGGTCATTCAGCACAAGACATGGTGGAGGCTTGATCCTCCTCAATATGTCTTGTAATAGGGAAAAAATTAATCAATATGTTAAGTTGGATATTTAAGGCTCTGTTTCCAAACAGCTTGTAGTAGGTTTTGTCTATATTGAGAGTGAGTTTGCTGGTCATCATCCAGATAGATACTTTTAGTAGCTAGTCATTAACAGTGTCACTAAGCATAGTCAGGTTTGAGTGGGAGAAGACAAAAGTAGTGATATCTGTGAATAGAACTGGTTCAAAGAGATAAGATGCATTGGGGAGATCATTGATGTAAATGAGAAAGAGAAGAGGGCCATGGACACTGCCCTCTGGCACTCCAACAGCTACAGGCTGAGTAGTTGAGGTACACCATTTGTAGAGACATACTGGTATCTGTTGTTAAGATAAGATTTTAGGTAGTCTTCTCATCCCAGTGTTCTGAATTTAAGGAGCAAATATTGTGGTCCACTGTATCATATAGCTTTCTGCAGGTCTCTGAAGAGCCCCAAAGGATATTATTTTTTTTAAAGCACTGCACAAGGTAAACATAGCAATTTGAGCATTTAAAGTTAATTGCATCATTTGTACTTTTTTCAGTCTAAACCCAGACTGTCAGGGTTAAGTATGTTGTGAGATATTAGGTAGTAGAAGACCCATTTATGTATTATTTTTTTCAAAGATTTTAGATAGTAAGGGCAAGTTTGATCTAAATCTGTAGTTATTCAGTTCAGTTGGATTGCCTCTTTTGAGGATCAGAGTAACCTTTGCTATCTTGAGTATGGATGGGAAGGTTGAAGATTCTACTGATTTGTTAAACAGATTTGCAATAATGGCAAAAAACACATGTGCTGCTTTTTTGTACATGAGTGGTGCAAGTTATTTAGGTTTCTTGTTAAGTGACTTATAATGAGTGAGACTTCTGTA